TCGTTTTCAAATTGGTTATTTATTATAAGCCAGGAGCGTAGGCAAGAAACAAGCCAAAATCTTTAATAGCCAATTTAAAATCGGTGACAAACAAACGCTGTCTTATAGATAATTAAAATGTATATTTTATCACAATACAACACCGTTGTTTATTCATATATTCTGTTTAGTTATTAAAGCTCTATTGTTTAAAATAAAAATATTTTCTTATCTTTACTATCTCTATCAAAATACAATAACATTTATTCAAAAGAGCAACACACAAGTTTCTTGTTCATTCTTCTTGTGATGAGTCTGCGTTCCAAATGAGTGGTAGTATAAAAAAATATGATTATTCAAGTGCTTGTGAGTAAAGATTATTTCTATTTTCGACCAAAGGTAGAAGAAAAAAGAAAGTGCTTAGCGAAAATACCGATTTTTTTATCAGTTGATTTTTATTTACTATTTTAATTATTTTCTTTATTTAGTACAATAAAGAGTATAAGTAAATAAAAATAATATAAATAATTATCTGTCTGTCTGAGTAAATTTTTCTCACTTCAACATTAGTCTATACTCCTTATTACATCAGCTACCTGCCAAAAAAACCCCGTCAAAATCGGTGCAGCCATTTCAGAGATTAGCCAGACAGACAGACAAAAATGGTAAAAAATGTTATTTTGGTGTATGTACCGTATTTATATTTATATGTATGTAGTAAAAAATTGTTATTTCAATATTACAAACAGACATTCAAATTTTATTTATCTGCTGAACAAAGATCTCCCCCGCTATACGATATAATAGCAAGAGCACGGTCCTGACCTGACTCAACAATTGACCGATTGACCTGCTCAATACGCACACCTTTAGTTCTGCATGACAATGCGATGGTGTATTCAGTATCAGTCTGCTTGGTGGGGGGAGGGATTGTTTGTAATAGGTCTAGTGACCTCATTGCTACTAATGTACCGGCATTGGAAACGACGCGGTCTTGGAAATTATCGTAGTTAATAATAACTGGATAAATTACACAACGCCATCCAGTCCTAAGCTAAACAGAGCTTGTGTTATGATTAGTAAACTAACAACTGAAACAAATACTTAAATATATTGACCAACTGACCTGATTCCATGTTCATCCTATCATCCTCCACTGGTGTCCCGTCTACATAAACCATTCCATTATCACTATTTGATTATTTAAGAGCCACGCTCTTGTTTGTGGAGCTAGTGCCAGTTTCCACGAACTTCCATTATCCTCTTTATATGTTGATAGGACACTACTCCAATTTTAGTCTTTAATTTGTTTGATGTAGCCTTGGCCTTACAACCAAGGGGGTTGTAAGACCAAGGCACAGCTGATATTATTCTTCTATTTTTCCCTCAATAATAATTTTCATAAATTCATCGTGCCGTATCAAGTGTCCTAATATTTGCTCTCGCCTATTTTCTATAGTATTTAATATCTGCCTTTTTTTCTTTCATCCTGTAGTACTTTTTCATTTCTTATTTGATCTTTCCAGATATTTTATTTCCATCCTTCTTACACCTAATTTCAAAAGCTTCTAGTTTGTCCCTTTCTTTTTAAGTTAATGTCCACGTCTCATACTCATATAAAGCTATACTCCAGATACAGTTCTTAATAAGTCGTTTTCAAGAATTTTTGATATTCATTAAAAAAATATTGTTACTTAGTACTGATATCAGGTGGGTCCACAGTATGTTTGCCATTCATCGCTTGCTCGAAAAGAAAATCTTACCATCAACTGAGACCATGATTGAAGTGATTAGTAAAGTGACTTACAAAGTTATGAATGGAGCATCGGTACGACTTGTGAACTGGGCAGGCCGATAACCCCGAGTTCGCCAATTTTTATAATCGCCCGTTTACGCAAACATGATAATGTTTGACTTACGATAATAGTATGATCACAGGTAGGGTTGGCAACTCTAAATTTTATTTATTATTTTTAAAATTTGAGCGCGTTTGACCACATTCTCACCTAATATTAAGTGTTGATGTCTAAACTGTTATACGCAAGCTAAAATAGTGCCTACTCACTCTTGACTTGAAAGATCCAATGTTGTAAGAGATAGGAAATAGACGCTGGGAGAGAGTTCCACTCCTTAGGTTGGTACGAGGGTACAAGGATGTCAGCTGTGTATGGCGAAGCTGCTCTCTACGTCTTCTTGTACGGTGGTGGAACGATGCAGGAATAATGAGGCCATGGAGTTCCTGAGCAAAACTGACGTAAAGTGGCTTGTCTATATTCATAGACAAGCCACTTTACGTCAAAATAGATTAGATATAGATATGACACGTTTATTTGCAAGGAATGTAGTGTACCCAATAATATTGAAACCCTACATACGGTTCATATAGTTAGTTCTAGGTTCTGCCTTATGTGAAGACGTGAAAATTTTATTTGAATGATTATGCTTCTATTAGTTGACCCGCGCAACTTTTTCTGCATCCCACTTACTTGACATTTATCATTAATTTCGCCCAATTTACATAATATAATTTTTATATTATAGCCTATGTGTCATATCCATTCTTCTATACTCACAAACTTTAAATTAGTTAGATATTTAGATGAATAATTCTAGACAGCATTATACAATTTAAAATTATTATAATATTAAATTGTATAATGCTGTCTAGTTATAATAATTATATTCATCAATACAAATGTTAGAACCCGCGACCATCGGAAATAAAGCGGTGTCCTAAACCACTGGACCATTGAGGCCGTTCATAAATACTTTATCCAAACTAATTTCACATATTATTGAATGTTCCAGAATAAATATCATTTTTTTATTAACTATTTTTATAAAGTACCAACCCTAATCACATGCATTAAGCTGGACAGAGTCGTTTTATGGAGACTAGTATTTGCTTGTTGATATCAACGTGTGAACGATTTCAAAAACAGTACCTTTATTATTACGTCATGTCTGTGTGTCTATGCCATCTGTCATTAAAACTTTCTAAAAAAATACAATGTTCTCACTGTTACTATTTGTGGCTTTAAAGATTTTGCGTATTTCATTTATATTTGACAAGACAGCCTCGTTGGTCTAACAGTTTAGCACACCGCTTTACTTCCGATGGTCGCGGATTCCATTCCTTGCATACTATTACACAAACATATTAATAAATATAATTGTTTGTATAGTTTAGGTCTTTTCTATGCATATTGTGTAACTATTTACAAATTAAATCTAAGTATTTATATCAGTTATCTAGTACCCATAACATAAGTTATATAGATTGGGACTAAATGCTTTTGTGTGAATTGGCCAAGGTTATAATACAGACCCGGCCACGCGTTGCTATGGCTAAGGTTATTGAATAAAATAATATTGCGACTATAAATTTAGATGTAAGCTATCCTATCTTTCAAGTTGGATCAAATTGCACACAATGTGAAAATCAAATTTGTAATCGGTTCAATAGTTTAGGAATCTTATCTCGGACAAATGACGTGACACGTAATTTTTATACATAAAGATTATATTTAATTTAAGAACTTGATATTCAAAATTCATTTCAATCATCTGATAATAAACACCCATAATGATTAAATAATAATAATCTAGATAGAATAATGATTCTATATCAGTTGTCTATATCCCATAACACAAGCTCTGCTTATTTTGGGACTAGATGGAGCCATATGAATAATCTGGGGTTTTATTATTATTATTATAATTTATTTACCTTTTATTACATTTATTACCTTTATCTAAATATATATAACGCAAAGGTGACTGACTGACATAGTGATCTATCAACGCATAGTCCAAACCACTGGACGGATCGAGCTGAAATTTGGTTTGCAGGTAGATAAAGAATTTTGATTAATTCTACCCCCAAGGGGATAAAATAGGGGATGATAGTTTGTCAATTTTAAACCGATCGGGCTGATTTTGCATTCATAAAGCTACTATGACGTAAGCATCCCCTAAGAAAGGATTTTGATAAATTCCACCCTTAAGGGGATAAATTAATGCGAGCGAAGCCGAGGGCAAAAGCTAGTTGTAAATAAACTACTAGGCCATTAAGTCATCTGAACTACAAACTTTATTATCTTCCATAATTCCTTTTTGTATCTTATAAAATAATGTATATAAATAAACAAAATTTAGTTTTTAATCAATACTCAACCAATTTCCGTTCTAATTCACGCAAATTTCACCTTTGAAGTCATAAAACCCCGATATTTCAACCTAAATCGGTTAACCTTCGATTATGAATATTCAAAGGCCCTGCCAGAGGCATTATTCACGTGGTTCTGAGCGCGTCCTTATTACATACATTTCATACATTTTACTTACATTATCATAATTATTATATTGACTTATACAAGAATAACTCTAACATTTTATACTTGGTCTATTAATATTAATGAGGCGTACCTAGTTTGTTTAGGCGGTCTGTTTGTCCAGGTATTTTATAATATTTATACAAATCTAATAGAGTTTTTTATTATGTAATTCAAGTGAAGAATGGCACATCCGATGGTAAGTGGTAACCGTCGCCTATATACATGAACAGCATCACGGACATCATGTTATCACGTGACGTCCGTGATACCACGTGATCATGCGTTACCATTCCGATCTTATATATCTATGTCATCAAATTTTACTGCCCTATCTCCACTCCTCTACCGAACACACATTTTCACTGAAACACAGCCTACAAACGGCATTGACAGCTTTGGTGGTCTAGCAGTTTGCACACCTTACTGATGGTCGCGGGTTCGATTCGTCGCTCGGCACAAAGATTTGTATTCATGACTATGATTGTTTTTATCGGTCTGGATGTTTATGTAATATGTATGTATTTACGAAAAAAAAATTCTATGTCTTTGTATCAGTTGCTAGTACCCATAACACAAGCTCTACTTACCGTGGGACTAGATGGCGCTGTGTTAATTGTCCAGGGTTATTTATTTATATTTAACCTCAATTCGACGCTGTTACTTAATTTTTTTTTATTGTTTCAGATTTATAAGGGTCTGGATGTGGTCACAGCGAAAGCAACTCGCCGTGAACAGGAGATGGTGAAGCATCACCTTCTGGATATTCTGGAGCCGCATAATATGTTCACAGTGGTTGACTTTCGAAATAGAGCGCTGAAAATTGTATCCTTTTACAAAATTCTCTGCTCTATTCCTTTATACATCACCTCTTGATAAAATCATACTTACCTCAGTCTCAATCTAATTTACATGCCAAGCGGCTTGCTTTATAATCTATGTTTCGGTTGTAAGGTGCGATTAGGCAGTAGAAGTACAGTCCTCTGGAATAGCAGCGCAGGAATGGTACAAAAAAAATAACTATTTTTAAATTTTGTTTAGTTTTTAATTCGTTCTAAACTAAGTTCTAGCCAGTCAGTTTGGGCATAAGATTTTATTTAAGGTCCTGTTCAGAAATTTATTGATAGTCATGTCTTTTATTTTTATATTAAATTCTTTTTTGACGACCTCTGTGGTCTAGCGGTCTAGCACACCGTTTACGTCGGATGGTCGCGGGTTCGATTACTCGCACGGCACAAACACTTGTATTCATGAGTATTATTGTTTGTATCAGTCTGGGTGTTTTCTATGTATAATATGTATGTATTTACGGAAAAACAAATATCTATGTATTTGTATCAGTTATCTAGTACCCATAACACAAGCTTTAGCTAGCTTAACTTGGGTCTAGATGATGCTGTGTGAATGTCCTAAGATTATTATTATTATTATTATTTATTATTATATATATATTTATTATGTTATTATTTATTTTTAAATTGATTTAAAACTGAGTTCTTATTTCAAATATATGTGATAGGTTGTCATAGTATAGCCATGAATAAAATAACGAAAAATTGAGAACAGGTCTTGTTGATATTATATTAGGAAGGTTTCATAAACTAGTTACATGTGTCTCATTTAAATGGCAATGAATAAAACAATTTGTTCAATTGGAGTACCGCATTAATTTATTCTTGTGCAAACATTTATACAACTGTAGTATATTGTACAATTCTCAGTTACCGGGTAACTGCTGATACGGATAATTGTAAAATTCCATAGCGTATATAATAGTGTGCAGGTATACAAGAATTTCTTTGTTCCAATTTGAATACATTATGGTATTTAGTAATTTAATGTCTGTATACCCATGAGGCCCCGCTGAAAATCAGCGCTGCAGCACATTTGTGTTACTATGTTGCGTTGAGCGGGAAATATTTTCAGCGCTGTGATGCTTTATATTTATTTTGTAATCAGTGTCTAATTATGATTATGGCATAATCGTGATTTAATTAGTAAAAGTAGCTTTCTGTCTATTCTATTTTTTAGCATTAATCATATAGGTATTGTTACTGGCAGCTTGTCTACCATTCTTTTTATAAATTTTATATTTTTTATATGTCACTTTTGACTAATATTGTTTTGTTACTTCTCGCTGTGAGCCCTTTTGAGAAGTATACACATTTTTACTAGTATTTGGTTTTTATTAAAATAATAGTTGTGTTCCCGCTCCAGTAACAGGTATAAATTAGCATTTCACGACAAATGAATACCATTTTACAGTTTTTTAATTAACTCTCGAGTTTTCTAAATAAATTTTACCACGGTATGAAACGTATTTGTTGTTATTATTAATTTGATACATATTAAAGTCAATAATTAAATTAATTTAATATATATCAAATAATGCATCAAAAATGCGTGTTCTACGATTGGAATCTATAAATTGACTCTAGAATTGATGATTGATGAATCATCAATTTCAATTCGTATAACAAAGTAAATTAAATTTAGTATTTTTTTTATTAACGGTCAATTTAATTTTTATACCTCAATCTTACCTTCTTTTCTTCATTATCTTCACTGCCATCCTTTGTTATTTAAAAATGATCAAGTTTGTATCTAGCTTCCTTCCTAGCATATGGTCATCAGAAGTATCAATGTTTATAAGTAATAACATATTTACAGGTTATTCCTTATTATTCAGAGTATATCCATCAGATATGTCAGCTTGTTTACTCGCGATAGTATAAAAAGCTGACTGCCGGCGCTTGATACTACACGAATAATGGATTCCCGCCATTATCATTCTGATTTGGTAAAGGCTCTCATTTATTTTCATACAACCACGAATACGCTTGACGAGCCGTCATTTCGTTAATCAAATAAGTCTTAATATTCATGGTCACCTTTGACAGGCCTTATATGTTGGCCTTTTTTACTTCTCGGTCATTCACCTAGTAATCGTCTTATGGTTTGTACTTTGGATTATATTCTCTCTTTAATTTCACCCCTATTACCATTGCGTATAGTTCAAAATGTTGTTCGTTATGTTCTGTAATGCTCATGTTTTCCGTTAATCGATTGATTGAATCTATAAGAAAATAAACATTTTGACATGTTCTTAAACGGTCGACTTAATGGGACTGCCGTGCATCATCGTTTGGAAACATTTAACCAACGTGACGTGTAAATGTAGCTAAATCTTTAGAAAATAATGTTGAATTAGTTTTGTACTCATATTCACTATTATTGCCATTATTCTTCTTGATCGTAACCTTTCCGATTATATTGTTGGATAATTTTCAATCTAGCTGTATTTTTTTCCTGTTCAATTTCCATTTTAAGTATATAGAACTATATAAGGTATATTTCAAAATATAGTTCTATAGTCCACTTCTTTCTTCATTTGCTTTGCATTACATTTATTTAGTGTCATGAGTACCAAATTGTTGAATTTTATTGATTTTCTTTAATAGTCGTATTATTCTTTCTACACTCTTTTAAATTTTATTGAACTAAGATCGGGAATCAATCTCAACTGACTACTAAATAGCTTAAGTAATATAGTGTAAAAAATATTTTAAATTATATATTTCTATTTAAAATTTGTATCCACTTTAGCCGACAAACCTCTAACAGAAAAAATTGAGAATGTTCTTTACTAATTTGACTATAAGTAATCTAATTTTAATGGTAAATACCGAACACATAATTATATTTAAAAAATATAAATCAAAATTAGCTTACTGCAGCAGTAAATTAAATGTATAATAAATGAATAGAAAAAATAAAGATATGAGAAATGATGTATTAATAGTTACATACTAAATAATATGAACTGAGAACCGACCCTTAACGGGATAGTGACCGCGGCAAGCGGACCAGCAAAAAATTGTATACTTTTCTTTTTGCGTCGGTTAACTACGTTGTAATTAGGAGTACAGTCGATGACCGCCCATGTTAGGATTATTATTATTATTAACACGATCATGCTAATACTGGCCATTACATCTATACATATTTAATGAAAGCTTAAAAGAGCACGAAAGATTAAAAAAAGTGATTGATACCTGAACTGAGCAAGTAATCACTACGTTTTGATACCTGTTTAAGAAACGACTGAGGTGCACAGAAAGATAGCACATATAGATTTTCACTTTTTATATCATTCTTTTGTTTCAGATGATTTATGTGTGATTTATTTCCATAGTACAAATTAATTAGATTAGATCTTATGAATCGAGCCACTGAAATGTGTTTGATAGGTATAGTTATATATCTATGACCTAGCAGTTGCTCGCAGTTTTCATTTCGTTATATCCTGTTGTTAGATTATACTGCATAAGGTATGCTTTTTTAAAATATAATTTTACTGGGTTAAATTTCCTATTTTATGATTTCGATTTCCAGGTAAGTTAGTATATTAATGTTGATGAATAATATTTATTTTTTGTCTTATATCATTTATCAAATTATTCTGTTTTTTATTACATTCCTTAACTAGACATTTAGATTGATAATCTCACTGACCAAGGAAAAGTTCCCATAATAGTCGGAGGAACAAACTACTACATAGAATCGATTGTCTATAGAATACTTGTGGAAGATATGGACGATCCAGAATCTTTATTGTGGGATAAGAATAAACGAAAAAGAGATTTCGACGACGAAAATACAGACCATGATTTGTTAGAAGTCAAACGAGCTACTAAAGATACAGTACCTTCAACTTCAGAAATCAGTAGTAACATTGGTGAAAAAGTAAAAACTGAAGCCTGTTTGCAAACTGAAGATAATACTCAAGTACTTGACAAAGAAAAACTTAAAATAGATATAGATAATGAAAAGAACTTTACAAACGAAGAAATCCATGCAAAATTGAAGGAGATAGATCCTGATATGGCTGCGCGTTTACATCCAAACAACAGGCGAAAAGTCATAAGGTTAGTGGCTTATTTTTTAGACAGTATTATTAATTATCCGTTAAGTTTTATTTTACTTTAATTCTTAAACCTATTTGCTGACTTAAACAGAGGCCGTCAATTCGTAATCAATAAGACAATGCTAATCTATTGTACATTATAATTATGCAATATGTATAAATGTCCTTGTCTAAACTAGTCTAGACATAAGATTACATGTCTTACTAATTATATGCATAGTACGTCTAGTAAATACCAAACAAAAAAGTCCAACAACAATATAATTACCTTATGGCATTCATGAATGGAACTCTTACTTATTGTTACCTTTAGTGTCGTCCCCTCAATTTAATACTTTTCTTAATATCTGCCTTATTTCTATTTCTATAAAGCTCTTATTCGTTTGTTAATATGTATATTTAGTTCATTGATTTTATTTATTCCAATAACGGGTCTGAAATGTCAAAGGTCACAGTTTGGTTTCATTATTGAAACGTATCTCGAAATGACGTATCAAAATCGTATGACGCAATACAATTCAGATGTGCCAATAAGTTTACGTTACTATTAATTTCACATATTTAAGATATTTAATGGAATTATTGTTTAAAACTGTTTATCATCATCATCATCATAACTTATTAACGTCCCACTTCTGGATTGATACTACCATAAGAATGTTTTCTTATTCAGGTAAAATGAACCATTGCCTATCAATTACGCTGTTGTATTGTAATTCTTTGGAGATAGCCTTCAGCAGCTCCATTAGTTCTTCCGCGGGTTTGGAGGACCATTTGCACTGGCCCCATAAAGTTCGCTGAAGCTGTAAAGCCCAGATGCGGCCAACGACATTAGGATAGTTTAAAAAAAATGCAATTCCTTGTTTATCTAATCACCACTAAAGATATCTTACTTTCTTTACGAAGTGGAGACACATTGTATTCTTACTTAGGCTTGGTGACCTCAATAAGTAGGTCAATAATCATAATCAGGAAGTGAAATATTACAAATTATTTTATAGCCAATACTAATTCAAAGTTCAACAGTAATCACTGTACCATTTCAAACAACTACAATAAAACACATGCTCACTGCATGTCTAACCAGAGTTCATAATTATTCAGATTATTATCATAGGTAGGCTGTTAATAGTAGTCGGTAAAATGTAACTGTAAAAAAACCCCTATTTAGTCTCACCTATTTCGGCAAAGCAGCAAGCTGCCGCCAAGCTGCGGTTGCTTGCTTTCGGTTGTAGGGTCAGATTAGGCGTTGAAACTATACGATAAGAGGCATGTCATATTAGTCCTCTGCGATGACAAATATGAGGGGTATCGCTGGTGTCACATGATAATGTGATGTCCGTAGTGCTGTTCATATCGTTCTTGACAAAAACTGAAATGAAATAGAGGTACTCATGTAAATGTCCTTGTATAATATTTATATTTACTTGAATATCTCTATAGTACCCTATAGTACTTTGCAATTCAATAGGTTGACTATACTTTACAGTTCTTTGTATGTCATAAAACACCTCCACATGTTGTAGCATATTTTATTCGTCGATATATTTATAAGTTTTATCTTCTTTCTGGTTTCATGCCGTTTTTATAATATAACTACTACGTAAATGTATAACGCAATATCCTAGGACCCGCTGAACTTGAGACCGCTGGTTTTGAAGAAACAGACTTGTACTGTTGCGTCATTTGCCCTACTGACATTAATATTAAATTATGATCGAATTGTAAGAAATTGTGTCGATAATTTGGACTTGTGATTGGAAATTTATAGTATATTATTATTGCAATATTGTTTTATATTGTTTGTTGTCTAATAATTAAACTTACGTAATTATCAATTAACTGTCAACAATATATTCTGCGTTATCTTTAAATAATACTTTTTTGACATATTCTTAGAATTAGCTTTATAGTTTTCTTTTAAACATTAAAGGCATTAAATATTCGTCTAAAATGAATACAAAAAGTATTCATAATAATCGACCTTGCCAACGTGGTGCTAACAAAGGCGATAATGCCCAGTAGAAGTACGGAAATAGGTATTAATAGAAACAAATGAACGTTGTTCTGAATATTTTCTGTATTTACATTACCCAGTATATACGGTTCATAGATGATGGTCCAATTGATGGACATTCATAATAATCATTGCTTATATACAAGGACGACTCTATGGATTTCTTGTTCTTGGCATCCTTATGAGGACTCGACAGGACTAAGATCTTTTGAACCTGTGCCGCTTTAAATTAGGGGAAAAACATGCCCATTTTGCATAATCCTAGTTATTCCAGCATTAATATATTAATTTAAAACTAAATCAATAATTATAATGCTAATAAATTCAATGAATAGAATATCATTTGATATAAATATTAATAGGTTGGTTACTAATTAAATTTCATGGATACAATAAATCAACCCTTTATCGTATTCCTGAGAAATCTAATTTGTTATTATAATTCAATATTTCGTAATAGACTTTTAACTATTAAATACTAATCAAGTGATAATTCAATCTAATTCCTTAGTTTGTCATTGTTGGCAATCATATCAACTAATTGATTTGCTAATGTTGATAAATATTATCAATCTGTATCTACATATTATAGAATCTGAACATTATCATGTTTCTTTTGTTAATTAATTGTCATTATTATTGTTATATCACTCAATTAGTCTGCTAGTCAATATCGAAAAATACCGATTAATAGTAGCTTCCTGGAACTTTGAAATGAGTATATTACAAATCATAATGATCATTAATTGAAGTAGCTATCGGTACGAAGGTAGTAAAAATATATCTTATTTCGGTCGGAATTGCTAAGATTTTCTGTTCCACAGGATGGGCCTGGCCCGTGCATGCGCATAGTAAATCCATGGAATGCTAAGAAGTTCCTCTCACACGGTTAGTGTGAGAATTTCAGTGTGAAAACTATTGTTTAGAATTTAGATTGTAAGCTCAGTAGAAATTATATTCCATAAAATTTTGAATTGACTGTCTAACAATTATCACAGCAATGATATTCCAAAAAGAGGTCTTAATCATTAAAAACAATAGAGGAAAATGAGCGCTAGACATATTATTATAATCTTCATTATCACTCTATTACAGCAGAATGATTATTCACAGAGTCAAAGTATGCAGATATTCAAAATCACAATATACAGATAACAACTATTTCAAGGTATTTACCTTCTTAATATTTACTTTATTTATTAACTCGCTGATTTATAAAACCTTCAAGCATAAACCTATTTTAACCGTAAACTGCTTTGTCCCGTTCTTTTAAGCTATCTTCTTCATTTGAATCTTTTAGATGTCCACCTTTTCTCATTATGTCTCTAATTAGTATTATTGCTGTAACTTTAGTTGCATTAAACAATAATATATATATGCATCAAATAATTACAGTAGTTTCGACTAAAACATCGAGTCATCTGAAAAATTGTTGTTGGTTTCTTCAATCAATTTCAATCGATTGTTATTTTTTACTTCATTTACTTCGCCAATATGTTTTGCATCCAACGTGACCAACGTAAATTATGAATCAGTGGCAGTAGAGTGAAAAAACATGAAATACCTACTTAGATTTTTTTTTCTATCATCCAGCGAACTGGCAACCTCATTTGAGTGGGAATTGTATACTACTAGGTCACGAGTAGTCACGACGCTTAGATAATGTTCCATTTATCAAATAAACCGACTGATGGAGTGAACAACGTACAGCCAAATCTTCTGGCCTTCGGACACGTTAGTTTGCACAGGTGTTACTTACGTAACGTAAGTGAACGCCATGGAGTGAGTCTCCGAAGTTCCCACGAGAGGCTCCCATGGGATGAATTGTCTTACAACAGTTCGAATTACCTAATAGACCAGTACAAAGAACTTTGGCAATCAATCGTCACCTAATTAACATACAACAAGAATTTAAGCAACGTAGCAACAGTAATAGACAAATATAATCATGTGCTTTACATAAAACCTCAAACCGAAGGTCGCGTGACAATGTGACGTCAAACTGCGTAAGACCGACTTCCCCGCGCCGGCTAACTCTGAGTTATGACGGCAGAGGGGGCGTCGGTGAGAATGCGGGAGCTCAAGTTATAGTGGTCACGTCGACTTCCGCGGGTCTGTGACCGCACTCAAGGCTCGTGTGATGTGCGCGTGTGCGTAGAATGACCTTGACTTTACTATCCGCTGGTGTTACTGCGTTCGAGCGGAGGATTTCGCGGACTGGGGACTGGGTCGAGTACGAGTTTGGTTGCGAGGCGTGGGCCCGCGCTGAATTAAGCAGCTATATCACATTTATGTAATAATTATGCGTTTTTAAATCCGTGTCTATTGGACATCGTAGCGATCGCTATGCAAAGGGAATTTTCCCACGGATAAATTTGAATAGATAGGTATTGAGGTAAGGAATTATTAGTAATGTGAATTACTAGTAATCCCTTAATTCCAATTCAATTACCTCAAACATTAAACAATTAAACCTTTTGCCGTATCAATACGATTTCGAAAGGGCAGATACTATATTCCAACAGTAATTTTGTACCGGATCTATGCAATTACGATTACATACGCGTTCTCTTTATCACTAATATTAAAATTAAACGTCTGCTTTTTAACACAATACTGTTATTTGGATTTTAGGATGTCCGGTAAATCGCAGAAAGCATGGTCAACGTACATTATTTCACGTCGGACCCAAGATAACCCTAAATTATTTATCATGAGACATTATACGAGTCGTGGATTCAAAGTACTTGTATATAATATGCTTTGGCCTAGTCTCTTTCATGTATGTATAGATTTTCGGAATAATAATCTCGTTAAGAAACAGTTCCATTATATAGTCGACTAGCTACTCGCCCCGGCTTCTCACGTTTGTACATTTATTATATATATAAAGCATCCTCTTGAATCACTCTATCAATTAAAAAAAAACCGCTTCAAAATCCGTTTTAAAGATTTAAACATACATAGGGACGGGCAGACAGCGA